AATTAATAATTCGCATCAGAATGATTTTTGTTTGACAGTAAAAATTTTTAAAGTAATAATTAATATTAATTAATAAATAATAAAATAGTACCTGTATCAAAATAATTATTTATTTAACCGATTTTCCCCCTCAAATTAATTTTTTAAACTTTAATATGAAATCAAACTGCTAATCAAGAATTAACGAGAATATCACTTTTTGGATAAGAAGATCTATTACAGTATGTGATCACAGTAATAATTGTATTCATATATACAATGGAGAAGTTACAAATATACAGATTTCAGACGAAAAATTCACTTGAGGAAATTTCGCTAGATCTAGCTTTTAATTGACTTTAGAAATAGAATTGTATTTTGTATTAAGGTTTTGCACAAATTTTATGAGGTCAAAGAATTTCTTTTAGAATAAGGAATATGAAAGAGCTTCATGATAATTAAGTATTAATCTTAATTTCCAAGATAACTTAGCATATATATCTATAATTGGTAAACCAATATTTATGCATCCCAAAGCTCTTATAAAGTTTTCCTACGCACATACACTTGACACGCTTTCATTTATACTATGATTTTATGTAAATATAAAACCCTAATGGAAGGCATGAAGACCAAGATGGTGTAGCCTTTTGTGTAGTCGCAGTCTCCTTTCGTTGTATAGAAGTTTTTTTGATTTTGTTTTCGCAACTCGGTCATATTTGTAGAAAGACTTAGAGGAAAGCACCTAGTCCGGAGTCCATTGTAAGCATCATCATTTCCAAAGTCGGACCGCAGATGTGGTACATTTCCAGACGTTCCAGGTGCGTTCCTCTGAGTCTTCATACCAATATGACCAAGTTGCGAAAACAAGGTCAGACAACTTCTATAAAACCCTAAGTTAGCATCAAATTTAATTTTTAGCTAAATTTACATTGAGTAAGTTCCTCCGTAGTAGTAGATATTAAGCAATACCTAAGAAAGTAGTATGCCAAATGTTTGTACTTACTTTATTCATAATAAAATATTGATCCGTTATGGAAGTGAACTATCGTCATATGACATTTATTAATACTATTTACAAATTCTTTCTTATTTGGATTAGTATAGGTTTAAAATTTTAAAAAATACATTAGTTTATTTTCTAGTATATCAATGCCAGTGTTCAACCTATTTGATAACAATACAGGCAATTTGTCCTTAGAAAATGACCATGTAACAATAAAATGCACTTCATTAATTGAATACTACTCGCATAACAATATGGAGTACTTAAAACTAAATTTTAGTAAGAATAGATCTTCATGATTTCATAGTACAAAAACTATTCAGCCTATTGTACATTTGGCCATGACTTTTATATAGACCTAGCTAAGAATCACAGTACAAAATTATGACCGCAAATATATATGCAATAGTGCTAAACCTATTATTCTGTGCATTATTCAAACCTATAATTTACTATAACTTTATATTTCAATCCCTCCCAAACTTTAAAATAATAATCATTAATCTAATTTAATAATCTAATTTTATAAAAATTTTCATAACCAAACTCTTGAATTTTATTAGTATCCACAAAATATAGCTCCATATTTTACTACCTAGATTCATTCAGAACATGAGCTTTTACATAAATATAGTACGCTAACCAACTAAAATTTTTTTTCCTTATTGAGTTCATCAACTGAATTTCATTAGTCTCATAGTTCATGTTCTAAAAGCCTATTTCTGCTCTTAAAAGGATGTGGCCTTTATTCAGGGTTCTTGGTTTTTGTTTATAGATCCGACTAGCAGGCTAATTAAAAGTAATTTAGACCAAGAAATATTGATTGCTATTTAGTAAAATGCTTTGAATATACAGAATTAACAATGAATTGGCATCATGCATTTCTATCAGAAGTTTGATTGGAAGTAAAACTTTAAAACCTCGCTTAATGTGCCAAATAGATTACTTTGAGCTAGAAACACTTTTTACAGTAATAAGTAAAACCTCAGAGAAATAACATGAAAAGTTTTAAAGAGTTGAATTTTTCCTAGTCAAATAGCAACTGACAACAATATTATCTAAATATAAAATGGGAAGGTAAACATAGGACAAGAGATGAAAGCAGGTTGGATTCATTATTAGGAAAAACTTCCAAAAGTAGGTTATTTATTATGTAACAATAAATACTTATGCATCAATGAACTACCCACTCATTCTTTTACTAACGTTTTACCGGACGTTTTGATAAAGTCTATGGTAGATGCAAACACGCAGATAGTGGTTAGGAAAACAAAATAGTCTAGGGTTGTTTTGAAAGATTTAGAACATTCAGATGTGATAAACTAATATTTCTAGGTGGATACAACAGTTTTGCCTTATTTGCAACATTCGATTGCCTTCGACAATTAACGGGAAAAATAGCCAACATAACTCAAGAAACAGACTTAATCCAAAAATCAAGCAGCAAAATAACTATTTGTATGCATCTAATAGGAAGAAAAATTTTTAAAGCTATTTTAAGAGCATAAATCTGGCCTTAGAGAGGCACTAAAAGAATACTAACTTAGCATAAAAGTAGGCAACCAGTTAGACAAGTGCGGTTATTTGTCTCTCTGTCAATCGTTGAGCAACGAAGTGAACATATAGTATAAATGCAGCATACAGCACCAATAAGAATCATACACTATCTTCTAAGAAAATATAAATATCTCTATACAATCAAGTACAAATGAAGAGTGGCTTAGGCTGAATTGGGGTTTTACTACCCCACTATTGTGTGTAGTAAAAACTTATTTACATTTTTCAAATATCAAACATTTTCGGTTTTTATACAATTGAAACTTTCTGCATTTTCTCTCGTATAAGTGTCCCTCCACATGATACACCTGCTATGTTAATATCAGTTGTTAGGGTGCTTCCTACTCCATGGCCTCCCGAAACTACTAAACCGCTGCTATCCAATAGATTTCCTTCTGTCGTCAAGTTATGCCGGATTGCCCGCGAAAGTGAGCTAGAGCGTGCAACTGTCTGCTGTGAGCATGACCGGTAGATGTTGCCATCTAATCCCATCTGAGGATGCCGGTGCTGATTTTCCTTATTTTGTATTTGCTGGATGACTGGATATGAGGGTGGTGCTGGTAACTGATGGTATGCATGGTGAGGGTGCGAATGGCCAGGCAGTAGAAGATTAGACAAGTAAAGAGGGCCTGTAGTGTTTGCATTTCTAGGGCTGCGGGGTTGTGTTAAACTTGATACGAATGCCTTATATCTACTTTCGCCATGGGGCGATTCAAGCACATCGTCGATTCCTGCTACC